GTTCCTTCTGGTTTTACATGTTAGACGGCCAGCATCTATTCACATTTCAATCAAATTAGGGGAGTTCTGTGGCATCCTATTGTCATTCTCAGATAACACAATTCCAGGGGCTAACACATAAATATGTATGCTTCCTGGCAACTAATTAGGCTGATTGCTGACTATCTCCCTTGTGGGATACCTAACTGATTCCTCGGCTGAATCTGGTGAACCATTTCATGACAACAGACCAGACCTAAACCATGGGATAACCGTGCGGTGGCCTATTCCTAGAGCCTAGAGCCAGCGAAAATCAGCTGCCATAAAAGCCGAATGGCGGACTTGCATAAATCAATGTCAGCATCAGGACAGGACTTCGAGCACAGGACTCGCGGCTAATTTGAATAGCACTCCTCGTAGTCCCAGTGGGGCGGCGCTTACCTTTGGTTTGGGCCCGCGTCAGGTCCGGCAGGTAGGCGCTCTGGCCGAGCTCGTTCCATGCCATCACCGAGAACAGATAGAGCGTATCCATGCGTAGTCCTGCGATGGTCAGTTTGTGGCTATTCGGCAGCCCATCAATGTACTTGTACTGCTCACGGTCGACGATTCTGCAAATGAGAAATGAGATGTTGTTGCAGTGGCAGTTGCAGTTGCAGTTGCAGCATGCGGAATGGATGGTATGTAGAGTAGAGCGCAATTTCATTTGGGCACATACCTATAGCGCACACGATAGGAGGCCTTTAGACCGCCATCGAAGCCAGGCGTCCAGGCCACAGTGACGGCATCATGGGTCACATTCAGTATGTTGAGGCTGAGCGGTGGATCCGGCTGGGAGGTGATTTCCAGCCGCACCGTCTCGATGGTCTCGCCCAGCTCGTTGCGGGCAATGCACTCGTAGGCCCCATAGTCGGCGGGGGCCACCTTGTCGACGATGAGGGTGGACTCGTAGGTCAGGGAGTCTATCTTTCGCTCCTCCACCTCGTACTTGTAGGTGCGATTGATGGGCAGATCCTTCTTGTCCTGCCGCCAGATGAACTGCGGCTTTGGCGATGCCTGGGCACGGCACGGCAGCCTGCCCCGCTCCCCCGTGCCGCTGGCCGCCCGCATCATGGTCGGTGACTTGGTAATCTCCGGTGCAACTGCAACGCAAGATTGAGGGGGGAGTGAAAAGTGCACCCGGTGGCATTGATTCGACCACTACTTACACTTGACCACGAGCAGGACATCGCGGTTGGTGGGATTGGCCACGCGATTGTCGGCCACACAACGAAAATTGCCCACATCCTCGCGCTGGGCATCCTTGAGGTGCAGGTAGGAGGTGCCGTTGGCAAAGGTCGTCGATGTCTTGACGGTCATGTCATAGCCCACGCGCTCCCACTTGACATGCTCCTCGGTGAGCGGCTTGCCCTCGACGCTGCACGACAGCATCGCCTCCTCGCCGGGATTCACGATGATGTTCTCCGACACCGTCTTGATGCTGGTGCCATCTGTTGGTACAATGGAGAGCACGATTATTGAGGGGCATCCCCAATCGCTCGTTGGAGAGCCGGACAACTCACATTCCACCACCACGGTGATGTTCAGCGTGGCCTTGCCCTGCGTATTGCTGGCGCTGCACGAGTAGACCCCCGCGTCGTCGCGATGCAGCCGCGAGAAATTGAGACTGCCGCCGTCCGCAAAGATGCGGTGCTCGCCGCCCTGCGGGATCGTGGCTCCATCTTTGGTCCACTTGTACTCCACCGCCGTCGGATTGGCCTTCGTCTGGAGCGCCACCTGCAGCGACTCGCCCTCCACGCCGACGGCTGTCGATGAGGGCGGCGGCACGAACTTGGGCCGATCTAGGGGGAGGGTCAGATTTGGATCTCGCTCTCATCTAATTGCTTAATTAGCGAACTTACACAGGACATCCAGGCTGACGGCCTCGTGGACGCTCCGCTGCAACGCCTCGTTGGCGCTCTGGCAAGTGTAGACCACGCCGTTCATTTCCTGTGTGATGTTTACCCTGAACTCCAGCGTGGATACTGTGCCGCCCCAGAGGCCCGGCTTGGACGTGTTATTAATGCCTGTGTGTCGGTGGATGGGCAGATAGAGCACGGGCACAGGTCAGAGGGCACAGGGCGCATTGTTACAACCGAGAAGCGAACAGAAATGGGCGTAATTTTAGTGACTGGCAAGCGAACCGGATGCTGTCTCGTGGCAACGCCTCACAGCGGCAGCAGAAGCAGCAAAAACAGACAGACAGGGAGTGGAAAGTGCATTATAGGCGCCGCCAAGTCCGTGGCGAATGGGCAAACTTCCAATTGCCAAAATCGCCATAGTACACAGCGCATCGTACATACCTTCAATGGGTATGCCATCCTTCCACCAGGACAGCTTTGCAGGCGGATTGCTGGAACTGGAGTCACAGATGATGGCCGCCTGCATGCCAGGTCGCAGCTCTTCCGGTTCAATGCGTATTTTGACCGTCTCGGGGGCAACTGCAAGAGGGGATGGATATGGAGACAGGAATAATAATGGGAGCGGCATAATGGAATGGGCATGGGAGCCCCACAATCTACTCACAATGAACGCTTAGCGTGGTCGACTGAAAGAGCGGAATTTCTGTGGCGCTGTTGGAGGCCTCGCATCGGTACTGCGCCTGATTGTCCGTCACATTCGCCAGGATGGTGATTTCGGCCGAAACGGACTTGTCTGCCGCGCGTATTACGGAATTGATCTGCAAATCGGACAAAACGGGCAAAACGGTACAGGTACGGCAGAGTCTCTCTGTGGGGTATGCATTTTCCATTTTGTGGCTAAAATACAATCGTATCTGTGGCTGTGGTCTGCGAGAGCAGCAAACAGCAGGACACTGGGCACAGGTGAATCCCCAAGGGCGGCTTACAAAAACAGGAAGCCGCACCTGGAACTGCCGCACACAAAATTATACAAAAGTATGCGGCAGCAGCAGTAGCAGCTGGTGCTTTGAATGGATATGCTCTGCACTTGGGGCAGACATGATAGCTATGATAACAAGATATGAAAAGTGTAACGATTTTTGATAAAGATTTAACCAGTCACAGCATATTTAAATGATTTTTCTCATTAAATATGAGTAAAGAAGCACTTAAGGCCACAGTTTGAGGTGGAAATAATCGATTATTCTCATGGAAATCGATTTATTTCTGTTAAGCTACCAAAAGACCAACCAAAGCTTACAGATTTCGGTATTGGTACAAATACATGTCCTGTGCATGACGCGGCACATTGATGCTTAACTCGAGCTTCAATCTTTGATGGAGCCTACAGGATAGCTATTCGGTCACAATTCTCATTAGATAAGAATAAAGATTGGATTAATACAAAATCGATTCATATATATTATGTATTAGAAACAGACTGCATTTAAAGGTTCGACTTGTTCTCTCTTTCTATCTCGCTTTGTATCTGATAACTACATACGTACACCATGATAGTTTGCCCTGATAGTTTGTGCCCCGCTTTCATTGGATACGGATAGAGATAGAGATGGAAGGTGTGAAACCCCCAATGGATGCCGTGGTTCTGCTGGCATACAGAACCGTACAAAGAGCCCAGGGGCCCACAGATAGAATGTGGCGCGGTCGCAGGGTGGCCTCATTAGCACTTTAAGCCCATAAAGCGGAAGCGGAAATGGTCAACAAAAGCGCCATTATTGTTTTGCGGATGTTTGCTGTGGCCTGGTGTTGATAGTGCTTTCGTGCTGCTGCGACTGCTCCGTGTGTGTGAGTGTGTGGGTGTATATTTGTGTGCTGCAGTAAAAGGGGGGAAAACAAAGGGATAACACTCACCCTCTTGTCGTTTTTGTACCACGTGAGCGTCGCCAACGGATTGCCGCCTGATGAAACGCAAAGGAGTTTTTGCACAGAGCCAGCCGGGATAATTTGTCCCTCTATATAGCCGGAAATTAATGGCGGTGCGGGAGGATCTGCAGAAGACAAACACAAAAAAAAAGTGACATAAGAAAAACGTTTGCTGCCGCCGAAAGAGAGACACAGCGACAAAAAGCCAAACAAAAGAGCAGAATGTGGTGGAACGAACAAATTGTGGCTACACCCCCGTCCGCGGAAAAAAAAAACTTGGCCACGGGGCCAGAAAATTATGGCCTACAACAAGAGCAAAGGACTAGGCGCCCAGGAACCACCGCTGTGTCCTGCTTGTGCTTGAAGCTGAAGGGGGGGGGGGGGGGGGGGGGGGGGGGGGGGGGGGGGGATTGCCAAGCGGCCAAACAATAAAAATTAAAATTATTTAATTTGCCGCGCATAAAGTACAAATATCTGCAGGGTGTCCGCATCCTCAAGGCGTCCTTGAATGTGCCTTGTGAGTACGCTGTCCGAGGCAGGACAGGCTCGGCCATGGGGTCCTTTGCTCATTACCTTCGGGGCCTGTTAGTCATTTTCACAGTGCTTTTGTGTATGGGAATGGGCAATAAATGTAAATCTCTCCCTCTCTTTCTTGCTGCCACTCTGTGATGTTGGCCAGTGAAATTAATTAGCGCTGCAGGAGGGCCGAGAGCGCTCACAAAGGCTGTGCCGGGGACCAGCAACGGCACGGGGCGGGGGACTGGACTCGGATGACTGGCTGACTGGATAAGCCGAAACTAGAAATCGCAATTATTAATAAGCCACGTCACCCCCCGCCCATAAGCGCTGTACCACTCCCCCTTCAACCAGATTTTCACCCCGCCCATTCCAGGTAACCTCTGATCCCTCACTCCATCTCGTATTTGCTATCTCTTTTCCGTATGTTTTCCTTTACGAATGCCGCACATAATTGAGCCAAATAAAGATTGACGTCGAACACTGGATAATGGAGTCGCAGGACACTTGCATTTGTTGCGTGGCGACGGCCATGTCAGGTTTGAGCCCTGTCATCTAATTGGACCTTTATTTGTGTCCTTCGAAGCATGAAGAGTGTCTATGTTTGTGTGTGCACTTGAAGGATTTATTATACAAACAATTTCGTAAAGAGAGCGACACGAGCGAAAGACATACACAGAGAGATTTTGGGGGATCCCGAAAGTCAGCCCTAAAGCAGCCCACAGTTGGTGAAGAGTAGACCACGGCTGAGCTTCCCGTTCTTGGTGCCGTAGCTCTGGATGCACTCACAGATTTTGCTGCCCTTGACAATGCGTCCGAACCCCACGCGCGTGCCATTTACGACCGTGAGCGGCTTGAAGGATATGGTAAAGGACAGGCGCTCGGGAAAGCCCGAGCAGTGCGTTTTGCTGAAGGACAGCACATGATGGTATTGGCCATGATCCATGACCTTGGCGTCGTACTCGATCGGCTGATGGAGCAGCGAGTCCTCCGTCAGCTGGAGTTCCGCCTCCAGCCAGAGATTGGGAAAGAGACGCCTCACGAGGAACTTGTTCGGCTGATTGCACATGCAGGAGCGCACTATCTGGAGGACCACGAGGGGGGCGGCCTCCGTGTACAGCTGCACCACGATCCTGCCCAGCGGTCGGGCATCCTTCAGGTACATGTCTAGGTAGATGCGTGGCCGGAAGAGGCGCTTGCGTTCCGCATCCGTTTCCGGCAGCTTGATCTCAAAGTCCTTGTACTTGGCCAGCGCCTCCACCGGTAGTTGCAGCGGTATCTCTTCGATTTTCTTACGCTTATGGCCGCGCCGCGTCTCCGTTCCGAGGCCCGTGTCCACAATGCTATGCACGTCCAGCAGGCGCTTGCCAAGATCCTTGTTCTCGCGCTCCAGACGCTCCAAATTGGCAATGGCCACCGGAAGGCCAGACATGGCGTACACCTTCTCGTAGCGGAAGGGATTGACGGCGCCGTGGGTGCGCATGATGCGCGAGATCTCCACCAGCAGCTGGATATTCTGCTTGGTGCGGTTCATGAACACATACGCCTCGTCCCGCAGTCCGTTGATGCCGGTGACGCGGGCGGCCTGGAACGTGGGCGGCTCTGCGTCCAGCTTGCTGATGGCATTCTTCACCCGCTCCCGGTGCGTTCTCCACATCTTCTTGTGCATGGCCAATTCATGCGGCACATGCTGCGCCTTCACCGCCTTCCTGACCGCCTTCTTCTTCTTGCTGGCCTCCAGATCGGCAGCCTGCTTCACCTCCTGGGTCATTTTCATCAGCTCCCGTGTCGAGTCGGACAAGCAGAGCGGAAACTCGGAATATTGCGGATGCTCTGATGTCATTGCAAAAAATCGAAACAAAACTCAAAATAGCAAAAAAGAACAACTAAACGAAAGAAAAGTTTACGCCAAAAAAGTTACACGAATAAAAGTGAAGTGTGGGGAAAACACAATCTGATTTCATCCTGTTGAAAGGCATTAAACAGGACAAAACAACAATAACAGCAACACGACTAGAAATGCAGATAGTTTGGCTGTAAGCTGGGGATTTTTGTGGGGGGGACTTACACAGAACATTGATCGTGTGGGTGGAAACCACGTTTTCCGTCAGCTGCATATTGAGGCCGTGGCAGATGACGACCAGGGACCGCTTATGGGGCTCCACGATGGCGGTGATGTTGGAGGTGCTCGTCCAGCCGCCTGCAATGACAGAGAGCGACAGCGACAACGACAGAGACAGAGACAGATACAGAGATGTAGATGAATGGTTATATGAGAACAGGGGGGCCAGCTGTTGCCACTTACCTTCGGGGCTGATAGTCTTGCTGAAGGTGGTGTTGCGCACCTGCCGTCCGCCCACCATCCATTTGATCTCAGCGGGTGGATTCGATGGTGCCGTGGTGCATGTTAGTGGCACAATATCGCCGACGCGCGCCTCTGTGGGTCCCATCACGGTGACATGGGTGGGTGCAACTGTGTGTGTGTGTGTGGGATGGGAGAATGGGATAATGAAGAAGGCTTCCACAACGCGTCGCATAAATATTTCACAAGTAGATGTGCCACAGAAGCGCTGCCTCAGACACTTCTACTTATGGAGAGTATCCTTGGCAAATCAGACGCCCCTTAGAGCTCTATATACTTCCTGAGGGTATTATGAACCTAACTATAAGCATGTTTTCAGTGCCTCTTCGGAGACAACTAACTCTGGTGCTGCACAGACAGACCTCTTCCCAGCCCACTTTTTGTATATCTTTTGAGGTCAGGCCCAGTATCTCTATAACTTTATCTCTGTATTAAATATCAAGGGTAGGCAACACTTCGTTACTTTCGTACCACTAAGCCTTTCTTTGCTGTTTCTCTAATAGCTTTTGAAGGGGCAGGGAGATTGCTGCTGCTGCGGATGCTGCTACCTCTCCTGTATGCAAATTATGACTGAGTGACTGACAGGTGTCCGTCCTTCCGTCCGTCCGTACTGCGGGAGTGTTTCCGTGTCCCTACCCTGCTGTGCCGCGCCGGTTTGCGTCGAGCAGCTATTACCTAATGCCAGTCTCGAAATGGAGAAGTGCCAGCTGCAGCATCTGCTGCTGCCTCCGCTCTTGATGGATAAGTGCATATATTACGCATACGCAGCGTTTGCCGTTCGTTGTCTTCAAAGAGGGAGATGGTGGGGAGGTTCCTCCTGGACTCTCGATAGATGTTCCGCATATAAATAAACATTATGAATTCTTAACTTCTCGCATCCTTCGTCAGTCCGCGATGCTCCATACATCTTCATTCTAGACAGAGATATCGTGTGGGGTAGGGGCCGCTAGTGGGAGGTGTGGCAGCAGGATTGCTGATGCCGAATGTGTGTGTCTTGCTGCCACGTCTTCGGTTTTTTGTTCTTTTGTCGAGGAGTTGTGTGCCACATTCGTTATACATAAATAATGCGTGTGTGTGCGCTAGAAGCCAGAAGTGAGCCATCCGCTATCTGATGCTGGCTACCGGATCTCTGCCACCAAATGTGGCATACTTATTGGGGCAAGATGGGGGAGGCCTGACCTGCTTCCACACTCTGATTGGTATGCGCATAAACAGAAACTGGACAAGTTTTCGCTTCCCTCGAGTTGGCCACTTAAAGAAGGGTAGCGTTGATAAGCGAAGCACACACATATGCCATATGCCATATGCCATATGCCACATGCCGCATGTGCTTAAAGACCCTGTTCTTCAGGTAAAAGATGCCAATTTCAGTGGCGACTGCCGGAGATACTTGAGATTTGAATATCGCGGCACCCGTTGAGCGGTTGCTTAGGCCCCCAAGTGCCTCCAGTCTTCGGTCTTCAGTCTCCTCATTCATTTACATGTTAGAAAGCACTCACACACACGCGCATACATATGCATAAGCAGAAGTAGCAGCAGCAGCAGCAGCAGCAGCAGCAGCAGCAGTAGCAGGAAGAAGATGCAGATGCATATGTGCTTGAGGACGGGGCATGCAAATGCATGCATGGGTCGGAGGGACTTTTGTCTGTCCGAAGTGTCGCTAACGACTTTGGCAACGCGTCTTCCCACCACCCCACCACCCCACTCTACCCATTGCCTGGCTTTGTGTCGCCTGATTGCAATTGTTGTAACTCTAACAAGCTGCTGGAGCAGCCAGGGTTGCCAACGCTATTTGGCACTTGAAAAGAATTTGCATTGCTTGATTTGACAAAGCCAAGTGGCGAAGGGGGACAGAGAGAGAGGGAGAGAGAGGCTTTCAAAGTGCAAACTTAAGCTTAATTGCAAAAGAAAGCAACAGCGGAACGGAGCGGAGTGGTGCAGGCTGTTGCCAGGCTTATTTCAGTCATCCATCCACCTCTCCTGCTTGCCTCTCTTTGTGTGTGTGTGTGTGTGTGTGTCGCGTGCCAAAATGCTGTACGGGGTCTTGTGCTTGGGCTCTTGTGGAATTTAGAGGATGTTGCAGTCATCCCAGGCTGTTGACAGACACACACACACACACAGGCGAGTCCTCCTTTCCTGTCGGTCTGTACAAATATGCATGAAGAGTGGGGTGGGGAGCTTTGAGAGCCTGTGAACTATCAGATATCCTGTGTACACGATCCCCTGGTATTTGATTGCCTCCCCCGCCTCGCTTCGCGTTTTCTGTGCGTATAAATATGAGCCGAGCCCCATGTGCAATTAGGCATTTAACCCCGTAGCCGCCTGCAGGAGACGACATCCTTTGATGGCTCCATTACAGCGTTACGCGGGGCTCTACTTACACAAAACAGAGAGATCCACTTCCGCCTTGAGCGGCGTCTGCGACATGACGTTGCTCGCCTCGCAACGGAAACGGGCCTTGTTATCGCCAGCCTCAGCGGTAAACGCATATATATTCTCCGACAATCGGCCAGCGGTTCTAGGAGAGGGGGGATTTACGTACATACCACATATATAGATATCTACATCGCAGGGAATTCCTGCTACTCACCTGTAGGCCATGCGTATCTGGGATCCGTTCTTGTACCAAATGAGCTGTGCGGGCGGATTGCCACCGCGACTGCGGCACATAAGCTCCACGCTCTGGCCACGCCTCAGTGTGTCGCCCTGCGAATAGCCCTCGATGTAGGGCGGCCCAGGGGGATCTACAAAGTCGAAATCGAAATCGAAATGGATTGCTGTGTTTACAGTTGGCATATTTAATTGCAACTGCTGCTGCTGCTGCTGCTGTCCCGCAAATAAATTCAATTTACACCAAATGTAAAAAGCAAAATGTGGTCAGAGGCGAGAGAGAACAGAATTTGTGTGCAATTTTTAATTGCTGTGTTTGCATGTAATCCGCTTGTGCGGTCATATGCATTATATTCCGATTTCCCTCGTTTATATTTCACTCTTGATAAAAGAGTCCTACGATTTGTGGAAGATTTTGGCAAAACGGAGCCTCGAAAATACTCCAACAATCCGAATATACTTGAATAGTTTTCATACTCTCACTCCTATTCATATGTACATCTTAGTACTTGCATGCAGAAGCACCTATTTTTATGCTCACAATTGTGTTGTTATTGCCGTCCGAAAACTAACTGTAAAGCTCTCGCATGCATTGCCTAAACCGCAGCTGCCTACGAATACAGCAATGCCTTCGCTTTTTGCATTCGGACCGTCGCTCGCCTGATCTTCCGATTCCCTTTTGCTCGACTTCGTTTCTTGGAGTTGAGTTGCTTGAACAAGCAAACAACTTTTCATTGTTTGCTCTTCGCCGTCTCTCACCTCTGCAGTCGTGCACATGCAGATTTCTCTTTAGATTCGCATGCATTGAATGTTCTTTGAGTGAATGAATAAAGGAATTTATCTGATTGTAATCTGCAGGGGGCTTGCTTCGAGACTCGAAGAAATCACTCTTTGCGTAAGAGCATCAAAAGCTTCGGCCATTGAATGGTTGTCTTTTTCTCTGTGGTTTTTTCTTTGTTCCGGGGGGGGGGGGGGGGGAGGGGGGGGGGGGGGGCGTCGTCTGTAATTTCACTTGTAGTGGGGGCGTCACGCTGGGCGGTTAATAATAGTGTAAAATGCCGCAAAACAGTGCAGTAATACAGGGACACCGACAGGGGGACGGACGGACAGTTGGCGGGAGCAGCAGGCTGTATCTGGCCGAAGGGAAATTTGTGTGTGTCACAGGGAAATTCTACGGAGATAAATTCCGTTATCAATACGCTCCGTGGGGTCGAATATTTTCCCAAAACTGCCAGCTCTTATCCGGCGTTTTACGGAAAATGGCAATCAGCTTTCCGCACAATTCTCTTAATACATATTTTTCGCTACAGGTGTCCTTTATCAGAATTTGACAGGCGGTCAACCGTGTTGAATCAACAGCAGAAGCCCAAACAGCAGCAGCAGCAATCAGGTGAGGCATATAAGCTGCCACACAATTACACACCCGCGTAGAGGCGGACACATGGGGCAGATGCAGTTATGCAGCGGAAAATGAAATTAAAATCACTTGAAATATTGCAGGACGGAAGGGAAGGACAGGAAGGATGGGCAGCAAGGAAAGCAGACCACACCAGACCAGACCAAACCAGACCGGTCCGAGAGATGCAATAATAGCGGCATAATTAAGGCCCAAAACGAGAGAGAGAGAGAGAGAATATAAAGCTCTGCTGTACACCCTGCGCCCCCACTCCACCAGGCGATGCAGATAGCGTGAAGCGATTTCTTCCCGGGGTTTTTTTCCCCCCTCCAATTACAACGTGCGACGCACGGTGGCACGAGGCACATTCGAAACGGCCGAAAGGATGGCAGGAGTGGAATGGGGGGGGGGGGGGGGGTCAGCAGTGCCATTTGCCATTTGCCAGCTGGCTATGCATAAATAACAAAACATAATTAATTTGAATG